AGGGGCAGAAGTAGAAAGGGAGAGGTGAACTGTTTTCTGCTGGCTGCACAGCTGAAGAGGAAGGAAGACATCTTGCACCTCACCCTCATGACTCTTCTGTGCCGGATCACACATGAGTGATATGGTAGAGTGTTTGCTGTGCTTCATCGTAAGGGCTACAAATGTCCATAAAAAAAGAAAGAAAGAAAGAAAGAAAGAAAGAAAGAAAGAAAGAAAGAAGAGGGACATGGAGTAGGACAAATAGAAACGGAGAGAAGAGAAAGAGGAGGCAGGAGGAAGGAAGAGGCAAGAGGCTACTCCTCATCAGTGTTTGCTCTAATCCCATGTTGTGTCTGTTGCCCTTCGAGTTAGACTGGTAAGAATAGTGGGCATCCTATCTGAAGTCAGAGCTTTTCTAGATGAACTGTCAAGATGGCACACTTTAACTTCTGTCAAAGAAAAGCTGCCTGGGTTTGTTCAGTATTATCCCAACACTGGTTCTCAACCTGTGGGGCTGTGACCTCTTTTTTGGGGAGAGGGTCACATATCAGATATCCTGGGATATTTACATTAAGACTTGTAACAGTAGCCAAGCTAAAGTTATGAAGTAGCAACAAAAATACTTTTATAATTCAGGCGTGTCACCATAAGATAAGGAACTGTATTAAAGGGTCTTGGCATTAGGGAGGTTGAGAAGCACTGCAATAGAAGAAAATGACCAGAGCCCAGCTGATGACCAACCCCCAATCAAAAGCTGAAGTAGGGGAAATTCAATCTCACTTCTTTTGGCTTGGCTTTATTACAAGGAAACTGAAATTTCTCTTCTTTTCATGACAGCCAGATCTTTAGCATTTTCTCAGTGGTCCAGGACTACAAGTTAGGTAGCAGTTGTTCCACATATGGTGGAAAAAAAGACACTTTTACTTGATAATTAAGGTTCAGAATGATTGGGCTCTGTTCCTTAAAATGGGTATTTCCCCAGAAGGAATCCTAGAGAGAGGCTTTTTAAAACATTTACATCTCAAAGCCTATAGATACAGAAGTTTAAAATGAAAAGAGCTCTCTGGCAGTGGTGGCACAGACCTTTAATCCCAGTAGGCACAACTCCTGGTTGGAGGACAGCTTGGTCTACATAGTGAGTACCAGGACAGACAGAGATACACAGAGTAACTTTGCTTCAAAAAAAATCAAACAAACAAAAAATGAAAAGAGCTCTAAAGTAAATGCCCAAAGAAAAGAAAAATGGTGGGCCTAAAGTCTGGTGAGTTATTCTCTGATCACTGATAAGTATCTTTGATACTTTTCACAAAGGCAAATGCTAAAAGGATTAAACAAGCCTGCTATGAGAGAAAGCAAAAACCTCCCCTTCCCTGGAAAGTCAGCTGAGGTTGAGCTTAGCACAGTCTCTCTCTGTCCACTGAAGGTTTTAAGAAAGAGTGGTAGACCCTTGAAGACTCTATCTAAGGCAAAGGGGGGTAGCAGAGTCTTGGAGACTTGGGGAAAATCCTGAACTCAAAGGGGACTTACAGTAAAACAAAACAAAAAACAAAGAAAATGTACCCCAAGAATATCATTATAATGTAAGAAGACACAGACCATTTGTGTTGTAACTTAAAAACTGCAGTGCTTGAGAGAAAGACACCATACAACAGAGCTTGGGTGGAGGGAAATTTTATTAGGGGAAAGAGAATGGGAAAAGGGGGAGGGGAGAGAGGAGACCAGTCTCTCGGGATAGGAGCATTAGAAAAGAAAATGGGGGGAGGGCACATGGGACAAAGAGACAGAGAAGCAGAGAGGGAAAGAGAAAGGAACAGGCAGAGAGACAGAGAGTGAGAACGAGGCAGAGACGGTAGGTGGGCAGGGGCCTTTTAAAAGGGAACATGGTGAATGTGCACAGGTGGTGCTCTTAGTGGCTGCAACTGAGGATGTATCCTGTCAGAATCCCAAGGGCAGGCCAGTACAGATGGCTGAATATTAACAATATGAAATAGTGTGAATTCCTGAAAAAGAATAAACATCAATTTAAAATGTGAAAAATAATGGTGTGAGAGGAAGAATAGCAAGACCTAAAAGGCTATGAAATAATCCAAAATAGCATAAAAATGAGATTTCTTAATGTATTTCATCAGTAGGATGAACATCTAAATCAAAATAATGAAAGACAAATTTGATTAATGACTTTTAAGTACCAACACATTAATGTTAAGGCCCTAAAGAAACTTGTTCAAAACATTTTACTACTTTTCCAGTTACTAAATACAAATACCACATTTTCCAAACACATATATTAAATTAACATGATAAGAGAAATGATCCTGAACATTTTTGTTGACTCTGTTTAAATACAGCTAATCGTCTCTAGTTGTAAGATTTCCCTATTTAAACACTCATCTGTCTATGGGGCAAATGAGAGAAGTTTGGTAAGGAATCCTAACTCAGTAGTTTGATGCACTTGAGGAAGAAGTAAAGAAGTGTGGTTATCTTGACTTCAAGCAAGAATTCAAGACTAGACGAACAATATAATTTTCTGAATTCTGAGTATCACATCATTTTCAATTTATGATATATGCCAAACTGAACTCATCTTAGCATACTCACATGTTCATAAGCTGCTTTTTCATTTACTCACTTTCATTGAACCATAATGTGGAATATTATGTTTGTTCTCATTTTTTCTGCCTACTATTTGTATTTTTATTTATATCTTTGCTTTGTAATAATTTTGAATTGATAAAAATAATGTTATCCAATAAAATTTATTTAATAGAATTGTTATGCAACACACATTAATGTACCAGATCCATTTTTATTATTAGAGCATTTCACAATATATTAATATTGTGTGCTGTACAGTTATTTTAACTAATCTCCTCTTGCTGCATATAATATAGTATGTATCTAGATTTTCCTCCTATGTAATTTTCTTAGGCAAGCATCCTCATGAATCTTTGAAATAATTCCTTTGTAGTTTAATTAAAGAAATCCATAATAGACAAGAGCAAAAATGCTGAAGCGTAAATACTGACTCATAGGGTAAGAACATTTTCTATTTCACTAGGGATGTGTGGTGTTTTGATTTGGATTGGTTGTATACTTGTTATTTACAGTCTTCCTCTACAGCCTAGGATGACATCAAACTCACAGTTCTCCTGTGTCAACTGTTGAGTTCTGGGATCACAGGTTTAGTGTGGCATCCTGTCTGGCTTCTTTCATGCTTATTTTGCTTTAGAAACTGATCAATGCAAAGGAAACAGTTAAGTCATCAGCGATGCTTTCCAAAAACTCAAAAGGAGAACTATAAGGAGTTGTTTATTTTGCTTGGTTTTTATGTTTTTTTGTTTATGTTTTTCAAAGAGAGAATCTACATATGTAGCCTGGGCTAACCTTGAGCTCTTGATCTTACTTTAGCCTCCAAAGATATGGAATTGCAGATATATGCTACCACTCGCTGCTCTTGTATGAAATGTGTTGTCCTTCCCATAACACAGAGGTGTTTTCCCTGACTCCTGACCTTGCCTACACATCTTTCCTAGGTTTTTAACTCTTAAGCTCCTAATTATGCCAGCCCCTGAGCATTGCAACTAGAAAATACCTGCTTACTAGTTCAGTGGAGCACCACTGTAGCTATGTGTTTGTTATTGTTACAGAAACTTTCCTTTAAAAATACTTTCTATTACAATAGTATTTGTGTTTGTATGTGCATGTGTATGTGCCTATGCGTGTGTGTATATGTGTGCATGTGCATATAAGTTCTTGTACATGTGTCATAGTCACAGTCTACCTTGCAAGAATTAATTCTCTTTTTACCACGTGGGTCCCGGGCATTGACCTCAGGAGTGCCTTTATTCACTGAGCCATCTCATTGGCTCATATTTGTCAAATGCATGTCTACTTGTGTGCTATTTGGCTCATAATTTTGTTCAGTGTCCCAATGTAGTTGGCCATTTACCTTACTCACCTATATAATGTGTGAAGTGTTGCATGTAGTATCAATTCTCCTCTTGTTTTGAGTTTCAAATGACATGTATTTTAATTTTATACATTCTCTTAAACTTATCTTTATGTAACATGAGTTTTCTTGGCCAGGCTAGGCCTCGCCACTGCTTCAGCCCTAAATGAACACACAAGACTTATATTAATTATAAATCTGTTGGCCGTTAACTATGGCTTCTTATTCTTAATTAGTAGCCTATTTCTATAAATCTAACTATTTCCACGTGGTCTTATCTTACTGGAGTAAAAGTCCAGGCCTCTTACTCCATTGGGGTCTACATTAAGTCTGTTTAGTGTCTCTGCAGAGAAGAGAGTGATTTCCTGTTTGTCCCTGTTTACATACTGATTCTGCCCAGCCATGTCACTTCCAGGGATCACATGACAACTTCTCTCTGCCTGTACTTCCCAGAATCCTCCTTGTCTCCTAGTCCTTCCTATCATCCTGCCAGGCCAATCAGTGTTTTATTCCTCAACCAATAAGACAAACATGTACACAGAAGAACATTCCCCATCACCTTTAGTCATTTGGTGTTTTGGTTTTTTTTTAATCTTGTTTAAGTCTTCCTTTGTAAGGGGATATGGGTATTCAATATCTTAATCAAAAATTTCAAATATAATTAAGACCGAGGAAACAGTCTGAGAGAGCTATTGTACAACATAATGAATATAAATTGTGAGAAATGGAGACAGAAACTGGTCAGGCAGTTGAGCTGTAGGAGAGCCCCAACTGTGAACAGTCTTTCCATTACTAAAGGCTGAAAATGCCCTTGACATGTGAATAGTTTTGTCCTTCCCAGAGGTGAGCAATGCCAGAAATGTTAAAGCAGAAATACTCTTTTGGTTTCTGTTGGCAGACACCAGGCATGCCAGAAGGACTGTTTGGTTGCTCATTATCTTTCTTCACTACAGTATGCACACTGGCTTCCACAGCATTCAGGACAACATGGTGGAAACTGAGAGGTCCCAGAACAAATCATGGATGGACCAACCAGGTTAAAATGTTTTTCCCAACTCCATACTTGCCTGCATTAAAGCTTTGTTAACTCCTACTATACCATTCTAATTTCCTGCTGTACTGAAGCTCTGTCTTCTTTCTCTTCTGTGTCCACCCATGAATCTATAATAAAACTCCTTTCTCAAACTTTCCTGATGAGCATGAATGCCATTTTTGAGTTCATAAGAGAAGAATCCAGAGACCATTAGCCCAGGTTGGCAAGCATTGATCTTGTCGAGGAGAGAGAGAGAGACAGGGAGAGGGAGAGAGAGAGATTTATAGCCCACCTGACATTCCACTGCTGACAAAGAAACCACATTTTTCCCAAATCATAAGCAATAAAGTTACTTAAAAATAGCTGAGAAGTAGATGTTGTAGTTCTGACTCATAGAAATATGTGAAGTAATGAGTACATTCATTAGCCTTAGCTCTCTACAATGTACATATTTCAAACATCAGCTTGAAATCATAAGTATATAAATTTTTGTTATTATGTTAATATGAAAAGAAAAAAACAAAATAAAACGTCTTTTAACGTAAGTCTATGTATAACTGTCAGAAAATATTTTTAGTGATTTGAGTTTGTAACAGTCATGCAGGCAATACTAATAGAGATGAATTTCAAGTGTGGAATTATATAAATTCCAAATCCATTGTCCATGCCCCTCTCATTAGCGTACATCTCTTTTATTTGGCATCCCTCTTAAAGCCTTGGGGAAAAGGTCACTGCAGCGACTGCCTGACACTTTCTTCCTTCAAGCTTTCCAAAATTTCCAGCTGGACTCATTTAATTCACACCTGCAACTCTATCTATCCCAGCAGCTGGGAACCTTTCTTTTAAAGTGTTTAGGGTAAAGATTTATTCTGCATCTGTCATGTTCATGCTGTTGGGTTTCTGCACATCAGTAACTATAATTAACTACTACACTGAGTAGGTTATATTTCCCTCTACACATTTCTCATTTTCGGAAGTATGAGAGTGTTCTATGGTCTGTGTGATACTATCGGGACCTTATTTTTTTTTGCTTGTTCATATTTTGGCTTACACTACTTTAAGAAACACAAATTCTGCTCTTTTTCTCCAAGTCTATCATACTTTAGAAACTGCGAGTCTGGAGTCCTAGACATTGCCTGCCATCTGCTTCCCATAGCTATGTTTATGGTTTCCCTGGAATTCTATCCTATCCTTTGTCCCATGATGACTTACCCGACACCACCTGTGTACATATCTGAACCCTGGGAATTGAGATTGTCACCACTGTTCTCTTGAGGGCGTCTTGGAGTTTGTTTTCATCCTGGTAACCACAAGTTGTCCAAGAGATTCTTTTGTTAAGTGACCCCTTTACTCAGCATTCTTCCATAGGTCATTTCCAGTGATAGATTCCATTTTAAAGCAGATATTCAACCACCCAATAAGTTGATTTTCTCTGTTAAGCAAATTAGTTCTCTGCCTTCTGTTTACTTATCAAATTCAGTTCTTGGGTGAATGTTTAGAAACCTAGGACAGTGAATTCACATAGAATTATAAATGAAGGTTAAACACACACTCCTCGGTCAAGCTTTAAATTTAAATTTTATGTTTACATATCATTTAACACTTACAGAAATTTGAAAGACCTCAGCGGTGGTGGTGCAAGCCTTTAATCCCAGCACGACAGAGGCAGAGGCAGGCGGATCTCTGTGATTTCAAGGCCAGTCTTGTCTACAAAGCAAGTTTCAGGACAGCTAGGACTGTTACACAGAAAAACCCTGTCTCAAAAAAAATTGTGGGAATAATACAAAACAAATTGTGTGTGTGTGTCCATTTGTCTGTGCATCTCTGTGTCCCAGGACAGTTGTTACACAGAGAAATCCTATCTCAAAATATCTAAAATATGTGTGAGAATGCTGCAAAAGACTCATATACATACATATATGTGTGTGTTATAATCTTTCATGCTAATTCAATAATAATTTTCTAAAACATAATAAACACATTTGCTTTCTCCTCTAATCCCTATGCTTTTTAACTCTTTGATACTAAATTATCATGATCATGTCCCTTGGCCACACAAAACTTGCCTGTGCTTTTCCTAAGAACAAAGATAATTCCTTATGTAGTCATAGCATATTTTTCAAATGCAGGAAATGTATAAGAAGCTCTTCTGGCTTTCCTTAGGACTGATGATTCCAGAGTATGCATAGAATTCAGCAATACAGTGATATTCATGCTAAAAGCTTATCATAGCTGAGGATACTGCTGAAAGTCAGCAGAGGGAAAAGGTGCATCACTGCAATTCTGGTAGGAACCAGTTATATCATTCTAAGTGACAGGACCCAAACACAGATGCATTTGATCTTTCAATAATGGAACAGGATGACGACTGTATATCTACCAGAGAAGCTTCCTCTAACTGTGGTGTACAGAATTTTAATTAGCAATTGCCAGCTATCTAGGCTTCAGTCCCTATACTAGAAGCAGCAAAAAAGAAATGACTCCATATGTCATGCTTTAGGAAGCATATTCCTTCTAAGACTGATAAAAAATGCTTTGTTTTATAGGCTCAGAGAGTTTTCCTGGGACCAATCAGGTGCCCTGCTAAAGATAGACAATTATTTGGAATCTGTAGGGTTGGACCAATCCAAGCCTGTAGAGTTAAGATTGTTCTGAAGACAGAAAAATCCTATAGTATGCATTGCATTCAGTTGGTATTTATCTTTAATCTATTTAATTGAGAACAGTCCAGCCTTTCTTTTGTCTTTCATTTAAAGATTACCAGTAAATTTCTAAAAATTTCCTTTTTTAAAGAAGCTAGCACACATTTTTATTTTTCAAATAAAGCTTGGAGGTAAGTAAAGCCCACTAAAATAGGCTTTAAAAAATGAAGATGAGTTGGGTGGTGGTGGCCCAGCACTCCAGAAGCAGAGGCTGGAAGATCTCTGTGAGTTCAAGGCCAGACTAGTCTGTAGAGTGAGTACCAGGACAGTCAGGGCTACACGGTGAAACTCAAAAAACAAAACAAAGAGAAACAAACGAATGAGGTATGTTAAGCACGGGCTGACAACCAGGGATGAGTTACTGTTGATCATTTATTATTACCCTCCATCTGAAGTTTAGTAGAAAAATAAAATTGGATACAGGGGCTTGTCAGAGCTTTTCTCTTTGTTTAATTCTGATATGCATTTAGTTAACTGAATTATCACTTAAGTGATGCCCTGCAGCTCATCACAAGAAATTATTCTCTAGGGTGGGTTCAGGTAGTCATTATGAGGAGCCAGCTCTCTGGATTTTTTTTTTCAAATTGGAAAATCTGACCACTATGTAAGTAAGTAACTATATGAAAAAACTGTGTCTATTACTTTGATGTCTATCATGGAAGCATATATTAGTAAAAGAGCTTTTGCACTGGCAGCATTCACTACTGAGACAATCATAATTGTTATTCAAACAAGAAACCATCGATTATAGAGTGGGACACACTGTGTAGATATAAATTGAAAGGCACAATTTCCCTACCACTATCCAAACTATGTGAAAGATGGGATAGCGAGAGCAAGGATTAAATTGCTTACGTAATTTGTTATGCTTAGTAGAGGCAACAGGGAAGTCATATTCATGTTTTGTCTTACCGTTGAATAAAAATATTTATTTTTTTCTTTAGTGTTATGTTGCTGTTTAAAAGTACTGGTATATAACAAACTGCAATGCTCTTTTCACCTTATGGCTTTGTAACAGTTTTAACCTGAGATTAAGCCTTCAGAAAGCTCCTGAAATAGGAATTTAATCAACTGAAAACAACCTCAGGAAGTCCCTTAACTCACCCGATTCAACAGGCTTCTTCCTCCCAGAGTCAGGACTAAAACCACAACATAAAATACCTTGGGGTAACGCTAACCAAACAAGTGAAAGACCTGTATTGTAAGAACTTTGAATCTTTAAAGAAAGAAATTAAAGAAGCCCTCAGAAAATGGAAAGATCTCCCATGCTCTTGGATAGGTAGGATCAATATAGTAAAAATGGCAATCCTGCCAAAAGCAATCTACAGATTCAATGCAATCCCCATTAAAATCCCAGCACAATTCTTCACAGACCTTGAAAGAACAATAATCAATTTTGTATGGAAAAACAAAAGACCCAGGATAGCCAAAACAACCCTGTTCAACAAGGCAACGTCCGGAGGCATCACCATCCCTGACCTCAAGCTCTATTATAGAGCTATAATCCTGAAAACAGCTTGGTATTGGCACAAAAATAGACAGGTAGACCAATGGAATCGAATTGAAAACCCGGGTATTACCCACACACATACGAACATCTGATCTTTGACAAAGAAGCTAAAAATATACAATGCAATAAAGAAAGCATCTTCAACAAATGGTGCTGGCATAACTGGAGACTGGAATGTAGAAGAATGCGGATCGATACATGTTTATCGCCATGCACAAAACTTAAGTTCAAATGGATCAAAGACCTCAACATAAATCCAGCCACACTGAACCTCTTAGAAGAGAAAGTGGGTGGTACCCTTGAACGAATTGGCACAGGAGACAGCTTCCTGAACATAACACCAGTAGCACAGACAGTGAGATCAACAATTAATAAATGGGACCTACTGAAACTGAGAAGCTTCTGTAAGGCAAAGGACACAGCAAGACAAAAAGGCAGCCCACAGAATGGGAAAAAATATTCACTAATCCCACATCTGACAGAGGGTTGATCTCCAAAATTTACAAAGAACTCAAGAAGCAAGTCTTCAAAACATCAAAGGACCCAATTAAAAAGTGGGCTGCAGAACTAAATAGAGAGTTTTCAATAGAGGAGTCTAAAATGGCTGAGAGGCACTTGAGAAAATTCTCAACATCCTTAGCCATCCGGGAAATGCAAATCAAAACAACTCTGAGATACCATCTCACTCCTGTCAGAATGGCTAAAATCAAAAACACCAATGACAATTTATGCTGGAGAGGATGTGGTGAAAGGGGGACACTCCTCCATTGCTGGTGGGAGTGCCAACTGGTTCAGCCACTTTGGAAATCAGTATGGAGATTCCTCAGAAAAATGGGAATAAACCTACCACAAGACCCAGCAACTCCACTCTTAGGCATATATCCAAAAGATGCCCATTCATACAACAAAGATGTCTGTTCCACTATGTTCATAGCAGCTTTATTTGTAATAGCCAGAACTTGGAAGCAACCTAGATGTCCCTCAACCGAAGAGTGGATAGAGAAAATGTGGTACATCTACACAATGGAGTACTATTCAGCAGAAAAAAATAATGGAATCATGAGATTCGCAGGCAAATGGATGACACTAGAAGAAACCATGCTGAGTGAGGTAACCCAGTCACAAAAAGAGAAACATGGCATGTACTCTCTCATATATGGATTTTAGACATAGATCTGGGGAGTGCCAGCCTACAATCCTATGGCCAGAGAGTCTGGGAAACAGAAACTTCATTTAGTGGCTGATCGAAGAAGAGGCAGACTCCCTTGGTTAAGTACTGAGCTGAACTCAAGAAAGCCAGTAACAGAGAGGGAGGACTACTGACCACAGGGATTAAGACTGGGCTGGTTTAACCCCCAGAAACAGCTGACCAGACAAAGGTTAACTCTTGAATCCCAGGCATCAGCCTGGGAATCCAGCATGGGACTGATCAAGACCCCCTGAATCTGGGTGTCAGTGAGGAGGCCTAGGTAATATATTGAGCCTTGGGCAGCAGATCAGTACCCATCCCAAGTATACACACGGACTTTGGACTCCCATAGAACAATGTGAGGTGCACTCTCACCCTGAACTCTTGGGGAAGGGTTTAGGCCCTGCCCTATATGAAATAACAGACTATGGACACCCCCATGGAGGGCCTCACCCTCCCTGGGGGAATGAGGGGATAACGGGGGGGTGGTTGGTGGGAGGGCACGGGAGGAGGGGAGGGAAAGGGAGAGGGACCTGGAACTGACTTGTGAAGCAACCTTGTTTCTTTTCTAAATTTAAACTGGAAAATAATATAAAATAAAATAAAACACTTAGATGAGCCAAGCAGCAAAGAAGACTGACAGCAGAGCTGATGGCCAGCAGAGGCTTTTGGAGTATTAATGTAGAAGAGATCCTCACCCGTATGTTGACCTGTCTTCAGGCTGTGCAGTCTTTTCTAGGTTCTCAGTCTTTGTGAACAGTAAGTCACACCGGGGTGAGCTTTGGTGATGCAGCTATTGTTGAGTCATTTCTGCTCTAGTAGGTAACCCTCCACATATTTAGGTAAGTAACCCCCAAAACTTGTTGGTTGACCAAGTTGGTTTTTGGTGGTATCCGTACTTTGGTCTGTCTTGGGCTTCCTAGGTGGAGTGAATAGACATGTGGGCTGAACTCTTACATCATTGTCAGTGTCAGGGTAACATTTTTTGTTATGTATTTAACTCCCAAATACATTTCAACATTCTTTAGTGAAAAAAATGACTAGTTCTCTTTTGTTGCATATTTTAGAAGCAGTTCTTTCAACATATTCTCTGTCATTTATTTTTTTGTCCTTCTATTGTAAACTATGATGGAAACATAAGAATCAAGGTGTTTGGAATTATGATTTTTTTTATATGTTCACACCCACACTGTTTGCTCTAAAGTCAGCTAAGTGCTCTGTAATGTCCCCTTTAATTTTATTCGAATCAGAAGCAATTAATGTGCTTTGTTAATATTTTAAAGACAACTTAACAGAAAGACATTTTATTAAATGAGGAACTGAGCCCTATTAAGGAAATTGTGGCCTGTAAAGACTTACAGCAGTGGGAAATAAATTCCATCCTAATACCCAAGTGCATGAGGAAGCAAGATGTTAGGGAACTTATGAGAAGTGGATCCTTGAAAAGTTAGGTGTGGATCACATTCCAGGAGGTGCAGAATCTACTAAAACCTCAAGACAGAACTCAAGAGACAGTAAGTGTTCTTGTTGGTGGTGTCTCCCACAGTTTTCTGTTAGTCAAACTAGTTTGGAATGATGAAGAAAAGTGAAAAAGATTTCACAGGCTACAGAGCAGATCAGAGGGCAGAGTGAAGAGTGATAATCTGATAAGGACGGGGTAAGAAAACAGTGCATGTTGTTCTTCTAAAATAGAGTGTATTTTCTTTTTAGTGATGTATGAGCATGTGTGAAGATGCGGGAGTTTCATATGCACATAGGTACAGCTGTCCTTGGAAGTCAGAGAAGGGCATCAGACCCCCCACACCAGATCTCCAGTGGATGAGAGCCATCCAATGTAGATTATGGAAATCAAATTTTCATTGTCTGGAGAGCAGTATGCCAAATTCTCCAGCCCAACAATCCATTCTCATTAGTTAATGCAGTTAGGATTAAATCCTCACTATCCTTCCATTATACTTAAAAATTAAACAGATATTCAGAAAGTTACAGAGGAATGTTCAACTTACATTTCTGGGCTTAATAAACTATGCCATCTGTTTGTATACTCCGTTTACATTCAATAATCCATTAATTCTTTCATGGGGCTAAAACCTATTGATTATCTGAAAGAAGAACAATAAAGTACATTTGATGGTACAGATAATTATAATTCAAAACTAATATGATAAAATATGTTCATAAGGGACAGCAAGAGAGGATGAAGCAGTCATGCTTAGTCTCTTCTGAAAGACCCCATGAAAGCTCATGTGATGGTTTATTAAATTGGTGGTGAGTTATGACTCATGTACAGCTGTGTGCAGACCCTCCACTGCAATTTTCCTGGTTCCATGACTCATTTTAACCAGGATTATTTTATGGTGGTGACAGTGTATTATCCCCTGTCCTAAGCATTAGTACATGTTTCTTCTTCCACAATTGTGTTCTTAGAAATCCTAAAATACTAGGTAAGAACTCTGGCTATGCAAGTAAAAGGCTATGCAAAGACTTAGCAGAACTGAGTCCTGAAAATTCTAGATGGGTATAAGCCAGGACATTCAGTGCTTTGTCTGAAAAGACCCCCTTCCTTCAGGTCCCATCAAGGGGCATGCAGCCTGCACAAGTGACAGCCAGTAGAGAACAGTACAAGAGATTGACTGCAAATGTAGGCAGTGAGAAGATGTATACAAGTTGTATACTTGAGTCACTGTGCTTCGTTATTTACAAATCAAATCAATCAATAATCAGGGTTCTTTTTAAAATATTTTTAATTTCAATTAGAAACGAGCCTGCTTTATATGTCACTCCCAGCTCCCCCTCCATCCCCTCCTACTCTGCCCCCCACCAGTCCCCCTTCCTGTCATCCCTTCTCTCCCTATGGAGGGTGAGGCACTCCATGGTGGATCCCCAAAGTCTGTCATATCATCTGGGGCAGGGCCCAGGCCCTCCCCCATGTGTCCAGTCCAAGAGCACATACCTCCACTTGGAATGGGCTCTCAAAGTCCATTTGTTTGTCAGGGAGAATACTGATCCACAACCAGAAGACCCATAGATTGCCAAGGCCTCCTGACTGAGGTCCATATTCCGGGGGTCTGGATCAGTCCCATGATGGTCTCTCAGTCACCAGTCTGGGGTCCATAAGCTCCCACTTGTTCAGGTCAGCTGCTTCTGTGGGCTTCACCAGCCTGGTCTTGACCCCCTTGCTCATCACTCCTCCCTCTCTGCAACTACATTCCAGGAGTTCACTTCAATGTTTAGTTGTGGGTGTCTGCCTCTGCTTCCATCAGCCACTGGATGAAGGATACAGGATATCATATAAGGTAGCTATCAATCTCCTTATAGAGGAAGGGCATATAAGGAAGCCTCTCTACTATTGATTAGATTGCCAATTGGTATCATCCTTGTAGATCTCTGGAAATCTCCCTAGTGCCAGATCTCTCCTCAAACCTATAATGGCTCTCTCTATTATGGTATCTCTCATCCTTCTCTCCTCTATTCTTCCCCCTACTCAAACTTCCTTATCCCCCATTTTCTCCTCTCCCCTCCTCTTAACCCTCTCTCCTTCTCCCATCTACCTCTCCCTTCCTCCCTTGCTCCCAATCTGCTCAGAAGATCCTGTCTGCTTCCCTTTCTCTGGGGTACCATGTATGTCTCTCTTAGGGTCCTCACTGTTTCCCAGCCTCCATGATGCTGTGGATTGTAGGCTGGCAATCCCTTGCTCCATGTCTAAAATCCATACAGGAATGAGCACATACCATGTTTGTCTTTTTGTGACTGGGTTACCCCACTCAGGATGATTTCTTCTAGTGCCATCCATTTGCCTGTGGTTTTCAAGATTCCATTGTTTTTGCCACTGAGTAGTATGCATTGTGTAAATGTACCATATTTGCTCTATCTACTCTTCAGTTGAGGGGCATCTAGGTTGCTTCCAGGTTCTGATTATTGCAATTAGTGCTGCAATGAACATAGTTCCACAGACGTCCTTGTTATATGAATAGGCATCTTTTGGGTGTATGCCTAACAGTGGAATTGCTGGATCATGTTGTAGACTCATTCCCATTTTCCTGAGTGATCTCCATATTAAATTCCAAAATGGCTGTACAAGTTGGCACTCCCACCAGCAGTGGAGGAGTGTTATCCTTTCTCCACATCCTATCTAGCATAAACTGTCATTGTTGTTTTTGATTTAGTCATTTTGACAGGAGGAAGATGGTTTCTCAGAGTTGTTTTGATTTTAATTTTCCTGATGACTAAGAATATTGAGCACTTTCATAAGTGTATATCCATCATTTTAACTCCTCTATTGAGAAAATGTAAAGATCTCCCTTGCTCTTGAATAGGTAGTATCAACATAGTAAAAATGGCAATCTTGCCAAAATCAATCTACAGATTCAATGCAATCCCCATCAAAATACCAGCACAATACTTCACAGATCTCGAAAGAACAATAAACAAGTTTATATGAAAAAACAAAAGACCCAGGATAGCCAAAACAACACTGTACAATAAAAGAACTTGCAGAGGCATCATCATCCCTGACTTCAAGCTCTGTTATAGAGCTATAGTCCTGGAAACAGCTTGATATTGGAACAAAAATAGACAGGTAGGTCAATGGAATAGAATTGAAAACTCTGATATTAACCCACACACCTACGAACACATGATTTTTGACAAAGAAGCTAAAATTATTCAATGGAAAAATGAAAGCATCTTAAACAACTGGTGCTGGCATAACTGGATGTAGAAGAATGCAGACAGATCCATATCTATCACCATGCACAAAACTTAAGTCCAAATGAATCAAAGATCTCAACATAAATCCAGCCACACTGAACATCTTAGTAGAGAAAGTAGGTGGTACCCTCAAATGAATTGGTACAGGAGACAGCTTCCTGAACCAGTAGCACAGACACTGAGATCAACCATTAATAAATGGGACCTCCTGTCAGCAAAGGACACAGTCAGCAAGACAAAATGGCAGCCCGCAGAATGGGAAAAGACATTCACTAACCCCACATCTGACAGAGGGCTGATCTCCGAAATTTACAAAAATCTCAAGAAACTGGTCTACAAAACATCAAATAATCCAATTAAAAAGCAGGGGACAGAACTAAGTAGAGAATTCTCAAAAATCCAGTATGGAGTGTTCTAAAAAGAAAAATAGTCTTTCATGCATAAGATGTGATTAGAAGGAAGGCAGACAGCATCCAAAGTACCAATAAATCAGTCTGTCTAGTACATAAATTAGGAGGAAAGTTATCCCAGATGAATCACAATTCAACTTAATGGAAAGTGCTGTCTACCATGAAAATGATTTCAATTTAATGTGTTTTATGGGCATGTTTTTGCTGGACGGTGACTCAGAAATGCATGTTTTGAAAGTGAATCTGATAGACTTTAATTGATGAGACAAATATGGAATCTGAGAAATGAAAGGTAATAACTGAAGGGGTTTAGGTGATAGCCTGCCCCAAGAGTGGATTCACAGGCTGGAGAAAAGCACACGGGAGCCACTTATTACTAGCGGCTTCAATCCAGCATATCATCTTCATGCATTCTGCTCTTTCTGCCTTGCTCTCTGTACCTGACAGCATTGTACTGGTTCTTCCAAATGTGGAATATGTCATCTCTAAACAATAATTTGCTTTGTTCATCTGTAAATGTGCTTTATTTTATACTGAACTCTCTTTAAAAGGTAAAGATTGCTTATGCTTTAACTCTCAGGGCTACCCTAATTTAACAGTGCCTTGAATTTGTCAAGCATATG